TTAAATTATAAATTGATTCACATTGTTAGGAATGAAAAGAATCAGCTGCTTTTAGGAATACGTCGTGCCAGTCGACCCCAAACTGTGATGCCATCATCTGTTCTTTCAACTGATAGTATGCACATTGGACTTCTTGCAGCTGCTGCTCACGCTGCTGCAACTAATAGCTGTTTCACAGTTTTCTATAATCCAAGGTTGTGAGTGTTGACTTATGTCCACCTCTAACACTTGTGTGAAATCATAATACTTCTTTTGACGCCTGAATCATGGGCAGGGCTAGTCCTTCTGAGTTTGTCATACCACTTTCAAAATATGTCAAGGCTGTGTACCACACACGTGTTTCAGTTGGCATGCGATTCAGGATGCTTTTTGAGACTGAGGAATCAAGTGTACGCAGGTATCAGTAGCCATTTATATTTATTCTCTTCAGCACTTTTTTTTTTGGGGCCTCTGTTGACTGTTTTGGCACTCTTAGATCAGTAGTTTTATTTCTCATAGGTAGATAAGGTTGTCTTACAGAAGAGCCTGTTATATGTATGCCGGCTTACTGATATCCTGCCTAGTTTTTCTGGCATCTAAGTCTATTATAAGGATGCAATTTTCTTGACATGTAGGCTTCTGTTTTTGAAAAGCCATGTAGCAAACACAAGTTATTAGATAGGCTAATTTACTTGGCTGCTTAATTGCAAACACAATTAAAATAGGGTAGTTTGGCACTCATCTGACACAAATCACCTTCTCGCAGGTACATGGGTACGATAACTGGTATAAGTGATCTGGATTCTGTTCGTTGGCCAAATTCTCACTGGCGATCTGTTAAGGTAATTAAAATTACATCTTAACATGTTCTTAAGACTAGGCACCATTATGTATAAGATCTTGTTTGTGAAATATTGTTCTTCTCCTCTGCAATGTACCTGTTCTGTGGCTTGTGGAAGGACAAGGTGGTTGCCTTATCAAATTTTTATCCATATTAGGTTAATGCACCTATAAAGCTATTTAAATCTTGTTTCATATTCTGTCTTTCATTTTCTTTTCCCTCATATAATATGAAGTGTCTTGCAATGTGACTGGGTGATGCTGCAGGATATTCAAGATGTGTAAATTTACGGTGGATTTCATGTATTGATAAATCCATTTTAATGTCATTTAACTGTACAAGTGAATGTTCTTCTAAGTAGCTATTATGTTGCTTGAATAATAGATTGCTCTATAGCTACAGGCTTGTAGGAGATTCAGGTTAACAGATTTTGTTCCATTACTTATAATGTGTAATGAATTGAAATACAATAGACATTTCAAAGGAAGTTCTCTTCCCTTTATATTGAGGAGTCTGCAATTTCTGCCTTTTCATCCTTTGCGCATAGGTTGGTTGGGATGAATCAACAGCAGGAGATAGGCAGCCGCGGGTATCGTTATGGGAAATTGAGCCTTTGACAACATTCCCAATGTATCCATCACTATTTCCCCTCAGATTGAAGCGGCCATGGCATCCTGGATCTTCGTCTTTGCATGGTACTTGTTAGACTCAATCTTGAAATTTGCTCTTCTCTTGAAAAATGTGTTCAAGTTCATTCAATTGTCAAATTGGCTTAATAAAATGTCGCCTGAAGAATTTTCACTACACATGCACTTAGGCTTATGTTTGCTAACAAATGACTATGCATGAAAACCAAGGTATCCAGCTGCTGGCTCTCTTCATCACTTATTTCTTGTCTCCTTGCCCTTACCCATGAACTGTGATTCTTTTGTAGATGGAAGAGACGAAGCAGGGCTGATGTGGCTGAGAGGTGGACCTGGAGATCAAGGTCTCAACTCCCTCAATTTTCAAGGTGGTGGTTTGTTGCCGTGGATGCAGCAGCGACTAGATCCAACTGTGCTAGGAAATGACCATAATCAACAGTATCAAGCCATGCTGGCTGCTGGTTTGCAGAACCTAGGGAGCGGAGATCTCTTGCGTCAACAAATGATGCATTTGCAACAACCCTTCCATTTTCTTCAGTCAGGAAACCACAATCCTCTGCAGCTTCAGCAGCATCAAGCAATTCAGCAATCGATGAGTTCTAATATCCTTCAGCCACAGACTCAAGTGTTGGCAGAGAACATGTCTCAGCACCTCCTTCAGAAACCACATAACAATCAAGAAGACCAAGTGCAGCAACAGCAGCAGCCTCAGAATAGTTATCATGATGCATTTTTTATTCAGGGTGACCAGCTCCCACCGAGGCAACACTCCCATGCTCCTTCACCATCATATTCAAAACCTGATTTCTTTGATTCAAGCATGAAGTTCTCGTCGGTTTCCCCAGGGCAGAACATGCCCAGTTCACTTTGTCCGGAAGGGAGTAGCAATCTTTTCAACTTACCAAGAAGCAGTCAATCCATGCTGACTGAACAATTGGCCCAACAATCATGGAATCCGAAGTATGCACCTGTGCAGGTGAGTGCTGCCTTTGGCAGCTCAATGTCACACTCACGGTATACTGAGAAAGATTCTGCAACGGTGCCATCACATTGTGCTTCAGATGCACAAAATCCTACCCTCTTTGGTGTTAATATTGATTCGTCTGGACTTCTACTCCCCACCACTGTCCCTGGCTATTCAGCTTCCTCGGTTGGTACTGATGCATCAACCATGCCATTAGGGGACTCTGGATTCCAGGGTCCTCTGTATAATTGTGTGCAAGATTCTGCAGAGTTGATTCAGAGTTCAGGCCCAGTTGACCCACAAAACCCAACTCAGACATTTGTCAAGGTTCGATACATAACATGAAATGTTGTTTGATTCAGATTTGTGTCCTTTTACTACTACTTTTTTGTTGTATTCTGCCTCCACAGGTCTACAAGTCAGGGTCGGTTGGGCGCTCCCTTGATATCTCTCGGTTCAGCAGCTATCATGAGCTGAGAGAGGAGTTGGCTCAAATGTTTGGAATTGAGGGGAAGTTAGAAGACCCTCTTAGATCAGGCTGGCAGCTTGTATTTGTCGACAGGGAGAATGATATTCTTCTCCTTGGAGACGACCCATGGGAGTAAGTATATTCACATCATATTAGAATTCAGGGTTAAATTATTCTCATATTTCCTGAAGGATGTTTAAATTACACATTCTTCACTATAAATGATGATATTCACATAAGTTTACAGTTTTATTTCTCTTATCTCATAATCTATTATTCCATTCTTGATCTGTGACTATGTTTTGGCGGGGATTTCCTGCATGACGGGGGCAGATCTTTCGTCAATAATGTTTGGTACATCAAGATACTCTCACCTGAGGATATTATGAAGATGGGTGAGCAATCGGTGGAATCGCTTGGTCCAAATGTGGGACGAAGGATGAACGGCAGCACCGCAGAATCTCAGGACCTTTCTGGCTTTCCATCAATGGGCTCGCTTGAATACTGATTCATATGTATAAGGATGTATTTGCTTCAGGTTCCAGTGGGGCCGTGAGTAATCTTAGATTTTACCACAACTGTTTGAACACTACTTATCGACCTTGTATGTTTAGAATTATTCTGCACGTTATGTTCCATATTCTACGTCTTCATTCATCCTTTGAGGATTTGATGATGAAAAAAGCACTGTGGTGAAGAAAGTTAGGACGGACTTTTTGTGCCTTGAACATGTGCACAGCAAACTAGATAGTTTTGTTGCTTATTGTAGCATTTGATTTAACGTCTTGCTCTTGCATGAACTCATGTACAGTAGACAAAAGCTAGATAAGCCTATCTTCGTATTATGATGCGATCTCTTGGTTTATACTCTGTCGTTGAAACTTGAAACTGCCATTTTCGTTTCCCCCTTCGTTTGACGGTATCTGGAAGGGTCTCTTTAACATGCCTTAACCATATTAGTATATGGTTATGCCCTTTTTCTTTCTCTGTTTTTTGGCCAAAGTTATGCCCTATTTCGGATCTGAGTCAATGTGGTGTGTTTTGCACGAGGTCCATAACCCTCCACTTTTTTGTTTTTGGTTATGCATCTTGTTTGAAGCACTGGGCACCTTTTTCAAAGATTTGAATTTTGGTTCGTAAGGGGGAATTCATTCTTTCCGTTAGACTGTTGGTGTGAATTTTTGTCAATAGTTTTCTGGAGGCTTCAACCTCTGCAATTTGCAGGGGGGGAGTACGTTGTGCGTTTTTCGTGCGTGCATATTTTTGTGCCAATATTTGCTGCAATATTTTTGAGATCGGGCATGTTAGATCACTGGTTATTGAACACTGATTGCCTGAGCGGTTGAGCCCAACAAAGCACATGCATGGGGCAATTATGAAGCACAGGGGTCAAGTGTCAGCGATAATATCCTGTCCACATTCAGTCCATAATCACCCCCATTAGCAAAGCCGAATGCTAATTTTTCATGTAAATCGAAGTTTCAATTTTTGCTGTTGAGGTGCTCATGAGGTGCCCAATGTTAAGCCTCAAGGTAATATGTGCAAGAGCAAGTCTACTCAAGTGACTTTATTCAGGAACTATTAACTTAAAATTACATTTGGAATCCCTGGAAGACCAGTAAACGAGAGTCTAATCTTCTCCCCCCTGCATAGATGTTCTAAGAAGTACTACCGTCCATAAGATGGTGTAAAATAGAATAGATAGCTGAAGGTAGACAACTCACGAGGGGCTGCGGCTTTACTGGCCCCCCGACCTTCTTCTTTAGAAATACTAAACCCAAGCGAGAGAAAACGCTGCAAATGACTGCAACTAAGGACTTTCCTAAAATAGACAATTTTTTCCCTCAGCTCTGGGAACAACCTAAACAAATTCACAAGCAAATCTTAACCACAAGTTTAATAATAAAAAGAAAAAAGATAAAAAAAAGAAAAACAGAAGTGGGCATAAAGATGAAGGAATGCAAATCTCTAGGATCATATTAGGAGCAGATACTAAATAATCGCAAGTATATAAGCGCCGCTATGATTAGCTGGGAATAGCGCCATGGGAAATCGACGAAGCAAAAAAATAGAGATATGACGACGAATGAATAACCGTAGTCCCAGAATATCATAGTGAGCAGATAATATCATCAACGCTCAGGTTAGCAAGGAACTGGTAGCCGAAAATACAACTGACGAGATTCCAGAGTAGTGATCATGTCTCATGAGCAAAAACGAATAAACATGCAATTAAAAACACCAATTCAGGCGAAAAGTTTGCCCATCTTCTAGTTAACTAATATTATTGAGATCATACTCTCACAATTAGGTTCAAAAACTACAATCACCAGATGCAAATGTCTATTATCCTCAATTCATACCGATTCCTTGGCTGGTGCAGGCGCAGATTCAAAGGCCGGAATCTTCACGTACCCCGTTTTCTTAGGGCTATCGATTTCTTCGTCATCATCGACATAATTATCGTAAGAATCGCGATAATAATAGCGGTCAGATAACACAGACCATATTAAGTACAAACCTATCGCAGTGAGAGCCCCACCTGCGACGCCGAAGAGTAGCGCCAGAACAACGCTCACAATGTCCTTAGTGCGATCACGGAACGAGCTGGAATTATGGGACGAAAATCCGAAGGGGGCTCTCATATGTGACCGCCATGGCTCAATTTCAGTCTCATTTTCGTCCTCCTCGAAGCGGCGGCCCGAGAGGGCGCCATCGAAGAAGATCTCAGCCGCAAGAGAGGGATTATCATAGTTATTGTCGTTATTTCCGACGACGTCCAGGGGGACGAAGGATCTGATCTCTTTGAAGGTGGTGAGGGTTGCGGCGGAGGAATGGAGCCTAAATGAGACAGAGTAGGAGGAGACAAAGGTGGTTCTGCAAGGTCTAGCCGTGGCGGAGATGGATAGGGCGAGAAAACCGAGGAGGATGGGGATGAGACGCGAAGCTGTCGCTGAGAAAGCCATGACCGACGAAGGACAAAAAGATACGAAGGGATAATGGAGAAGAAAGCAGAGTCTGTGAGGTCAATGGCGAAGTCAATGCCAGCAATTTAACGTCTTTCCTTCTCCGTCCAATCCATGAATCCAGCGTGGCAAGTTACCAGGCGATTGGATTTGACACGACATCCGCTGGCGAGCGTTGCCCACACATCAGCATTATCCATCTGGTCTCGTTTAATGTTTCTTGTCCCTTTTTTTTTTTGGTTACAAAAAACAAACAAGTACTACATACTTTTTTAATCCAACAAAAGCATGTATTTTTCCCTGGATCTTATGAGTGTTGGCTCCTTAAAATCTTTTAATATAAATATTCAAAGGAGATTTAAAAATGGAACTCTAATTTAATGTATATTTTCTCTGTCATGTTTTCACCAAAAAAAAAAACCATGTCATGTGTACATAGCATATAATATAGATTTAACATTGTGACAGAAAGAATAATATACTAAACCATGAGATTATAGGCAAGGATCTTCTCTATTTTACCTGTCTTTCTTCGTTTCCCTCGTCAACTCAGTGGCAAAATGCTTAGTCATGGTGTCATTTATTCAAAAGATTTTGAAGGAATGGGAAGTGGAGAATGAGTTAGTTTGAAATATATATATATATATATGTATATAGTTTTTTAATTTTATACAAAATTTCAATTTGGTTTCTAATTTTAAAAAATATTTTTAGTAATTTAATCTTAAAAATGTTAGTTTTAAATAGCAATTTTTTAATAATAATTATTGTTATTTTAAAAATTAAACTTAATATATTAGTATTTAAGAATATTTTATCAAGATTCAAGATTTTTAAGATCATCATTTTTTGTGGGTAATTTTAGGTTTAAAGGACTAAAATCATACTTTTAAAATTAAGGACCAAAGTAAAATTTTATAAAATTAAAAAATAAAAATACACTTAAAAAAAGGATCAATATGTAGAAGCTATATTTGGTGCAATCTAAAATTTAGATGTGCTCCTTCTAGTTCTAAACATAAAAACCAATAGATATGTTTATTTTAATAAATTAATATTTTAAATATGTTTCATTGCTATTTAAACAGGGACGGTTAAAATTTAACAATCTGAGTTATTTATATATTTATTTTAATAATTAAAAAATTTATTAATACATTTATAAAATATTAAAGTAACCCAATCAAATTTTAATTCAATAGTTGAAATGAGAAGTGGAGAGAGAAAATAGAATTTCTTCATATGTAATTATTATGGTACTCCAGTGTTTAATTATAATTAATGAAATACAATTAGGGTAGTTTGAAAAAAATAGATAAATATGAAAGATAAAATATATTAAGTTTTTGTATTTAAGATAAAACTAAAAATCAAAATAGCTTTTATAATTAAGATAGGAGGTAGTATTAAATATAATATCTCAATTTATTTTATTTTATTTTATTTTATCTAAAGTTTATACATATTGTTCTAGAAAATGAGATCTTCGCCGTCCATCGTGTTTTAATCTCAGCCCCTCCTCTCATTTGGTTAAAAATTTTGAAGGGGAAGGAAGCCAAAATATCCCCTTCCCTTCCCTCCTGGCTCCCTCCCCCCATTTTAGCTCCCCTCCAAATTGGAGGTTTTTGGAAGGGAGTTAAATTTTTGGACCATTATACTCTTATAGTTTTTTTAATATTCCACTATTATCCATAAATATATTATTATAATATTTATTTCAAATAAAAAATATATTATCTTAAGTAAAAAATAAAAAATACTATAATTAAAAAATACATTATAAAAATTATAATATTATAAAATTAATTGTTTTTTTATAAATATATTATTTATTAAATATATTTTAAAGCTGAAAAAAAAACCTAAAGAGAATAAAATTTTATTTTTTTTAGAGCATATAAATTTTTTTAATTTAATTATTTTAAATATATTATTATATTAATTAGAATAAAAAATTACTGTACCAATCTTTTAATACACATATTAATATGATAAGGTTGAATTTTCATTAAATTATATAATAAATTAAGATGTAAATTGATTTATATAATATATCAATAAAAAATATAAACAAACATATAAAGATAAAATAGTAAATTGATTATTATTATATTTTTTTTTCTTCTTAAACCAAGTATCCTTCTCTCCTTTTTAATCAAACCAAACAAAATGAAAATAGCCCCACAAAAACCATACAGGCGCTTAGCGCATTGATGAGATATCACTCTTCAGCGTCCCTTCCCGACTCAGTGCGCCGCCTGCCCTCTTTTGCCCCGTCGGCTGTCATCGGCGCTCTCTATGTTCGTTGGCCATCTTCGTTGCAGGTCTGGGGATCAGCTCGGCGCCGTCTTGCTCCTTCGGGTCTCATCGTTGCCGTCTAGCTCGTCGGCTCTTTGCGCTGTTCTCTTGCTCTGTCGGACATTGTCATCACAGATTTGGAGGTAAGTACATAATCCTGGCCATTGTCTCTTCGTTTCTCTCAACTAAGCTGATGCTTTTTTTTAAAATAATCTTTAAGGGGATTCTGAGAAACAAATAAGGAATGGAAGAACATTGTTTCAAACAAAAAAATGGAGGAAATTTGGGAGGAGAGTGGGTGGAATGTCTGAATTTTTCATTGTTTCAAACAAAAAAAATGGAGGAAATATGAGCTGATATCAGCCATGCACATTTCAAAGATTGATAACCCCACCGGATGTAATATAGGTCCGCCTGTGCTTGTGCCATTCCTCATATTTGTACTGGTTCTCGTAGCTTCAATGGATATCAACAGTAGCCTAAAATTTTCGCATTTCCTAGCATATAATCACCTTTTTCTTTTTTTAATATATTTTTGTTAGTTTGAATTATCTTTAGTTGCCATAATATGTGTAAAGAGTTGGATTTTCAGAGAGCAAATCATGTGATTCATGTAATTGACCTCTGCTGGATGAGTTTCGTGGTTGATTTTTCTATTGCCATTAGACTCCCTCCTTCTGATGATTCGTTCTTGATCAAGTTCCTTCAACAGAAGTTCCATCTTGAGATATGATGCTTGGAAAGCCAAAGAGACTGAGACCGATGTATAAAGATCACTTGTCACCGATTGCTTGAACCAAATGAACCAAATATACGGAGCAATTCTCTTTTTTTGGCGGGGGTTATGAAGTGCAACTAGATCTTGCTTTGTGCTATATGTAATCATGGGGAGTCACCTGAGATAACATAAACCAATTTGCATGGATCTTAGAAGTCGTGACAACTCTTCTCCGCCTCGTCCCAGATGGAGAAAAGTGGCATATGGTGGTATGCAACCTGGTTATGGTGACAACTATACTGATGAATCATTTCTTGAAGGCATGGTCACGAATGCCAGTGTTGTAAAGAGGGACATGGTAAAGGTGATGCTAGACTCAGTTTCCATTTCTGAATATCTATGCGTTGTTGCTCTCGTTGTATTGGTCTGGACTTACACACTAACATCAACTCTGGATGAAAATTCCCTGCTCTTTCTTGATGCAAGTCTCCTTGTTTCAGGATTTCTCATCCTCATATTTACTCAAGAAATGCTTTCCTTCAATCTTCTCATCCATTACTGTCTCAATATTTCCTTCTTTATAACTGGATTATATGTTTTGGCTCCTATATACCAGACTCTAACAAGATCCATTAGTTCAGATTCTATCTGGGCAGTAACTGTGTCACTACTACTGCTTCACTTATTTCTGCATGATTATTCAGGATCCACAGTAAAAACCCCTGTTGCTACAAAGAATCCGGCGTTATCCAGTTGTATCTCTGTAAATGCTTCTGTAGTAGCCTCGGTTTTTATCGCATCCCGTCTTCCATCAAGACTACACGTGTTTGCCATCATGCTCTTCTCATTGCTAGTCTTCCTTTTTGCTCCCCTGGTTACTTACTGTATTAAAAAGTATTCCTTCCGCTTGCACTTGTGTGTTTCCATGATGTTGATTGCTCTGACCTTGAGTTTTGTGTACATGCTGGATCGGTTGCTTTTTGTGTTGCTGCTTAGTGTGTTAGTGTTTGTCAACGTGGTCTGCCCTTACTGGCTTATAAGGCTTCAGGAATACAAGTTTGAGATCAATGGGCCTTGGGATGAGGCGAAGCTTTGTTTTGATATTACTGACTAAGATCATAGCGTACATGGGGAATACGGTGAGAAGTTGAGGCAACTGGCTCTTGAATTTTGAGTGATGGTCAGGTTTTGGTGTAATTCCCCGGTGCATTCCATCGGCTTTGGGGCCGAGTATTTCTGCTTGTTCTTGTCCAAATTAGGAGCAAGTGATGGTGCAATGCTGTACAATGACGTCAAATCTTTTGACATATTCATCTTGTGAAATGAAATGCGAGAGTGCCCTTGATTATTGACATGACAATTGAAGTATTGGTGAGCTAAACCTTGAATCTGCCTGGCATTCTCTAGCAACTGGCATGATTGTAATGTAACAATTTTCTTTTTCAAATCAAGTCAAAATGAACCAATGGAAAGAGTGCTGACGATAAATTTATTTATTCATATTTAATTTATATGAATTTTATTCTATGGCTCATTTTATTATGATATTTAGCTGAAATTTAAAATGAACTACGAAAGATGTACCTATTAATTTGAAGGATAAATTCTAAGGCAGGCTATAATACGTAAGAGTAAGTTTGAACCAGTCTATGGTGAAAGTTCTTAGAAATTATAATTATTTTAAATGTTCAAAATGTAAAAAAATTTTAATCTTGATTGTGAAAAGTTATTCCTCGGATGGTCGCCAAGAAGAGCGGAAAAAATGGATCAATAATAAAGAGTTTGATTTATAAGACCGAAGGCAGGGAAACAAAAGGAAATATATTACATTTTCGTATTTACAATTTTTAATTGCTTGCACCTCTGGAATAATTTTAAAATTTAAAGTCGCTAACAATAAAATTTCTAAATTATAACCAGAAGCATAATTTTTTTAAAAAAAGAAAAACAGATTAAACAGATTTGGTTAATTTTAAATAATTTGATATAATATGGTCACGAAGAGCAACAGTTGATCGATATTAAACTTCCTTCAGGCAAATGAAGGGAATTAATCTAAGCTGGGAGATTCTCTCTATTGCTTGCATGGCGCTTGTTGCCGGGGCAAATCCGTGGAGACGAAGGAAGAGGCTACGTTGCGTGTTCCTGTCCCGTCTTTTCACCTCTCACGGGTTCCAAGATTCCCCTGCAAGTAATTGGGCTTCCTAATTAGCTTCCTCTTTGGTTTTTGAACCATTTCTATTCTTCCAGGGGAAAATCGAAGACCATTCATACTAACCAGAAATGGGAGTGCTCTCGAACAAGATCCACTGGCAAGAACTGAAGCCCGGCGATCACATTTACTCCTGGAGGCAGGCTTACATCTACGCACATCACGGTCATCCCCTTCCCCACTTTCCTTCAATTCTTTTCCTTCTCTCTCTCTCTCTATATATATGCCATTTCTGTAATCATTGGCAACATTTAAGTTCTCAGCATATGAAGATAGGCTAAAGAGAATTGAAGAACGGGAAAATAAATCGTTAAAAGAATTCTAACCTGATTATTGATTATCCTGTGAGATTTATGCTTTTGTAAAATTTTACTCTGTTCATCGTATGCGGTACTGAAACTGCCATACAATGCTTTCCTTTCCTCTAAGACACCAGGAATCTACATCGGCGACGGAATGGTGATCCACTTCACCAGAGGAGCCGGCCAAGAAATCGGCACCGGAACTGTTCTCGATCGTCTCGTCCTCATGTCAATGCCCCCTAATTCCAATGCACGCACTGCATGCCCGAGATGCGGCGGCCAGAGCAGATCTCATGGCGTCATCTCATCCTGCCTGACCTGCTTTCTCGCCGGCGGAGATCTATACCTCTTCGAATACGGTGTTTCCCCGGCGTTTTTTCTCGCCAAAGCGCGAGGAGGCACATGCACTCTGGCTCAGTCCGATGCTCCGGAGCAGGTGCTTCACCGTGCCTTGTTCCTCCTCGAGAATGGCTTCGGCAATTATAATATATTCAAGAATAATTGTGAGGACTTTGCCATTTACTGTAAGACAGGATTGCTTGTGTTCACGGGCATCGGCGTTGGCCGCAGCGGGCAAGCGGCATCGTATATGGCGGCGGCTAGTGCAGTGGTGTCTTCGCCGCTTCGGTTCTTGACGGCTGGTTTTGGTGGCTTGGCTTTGGTTGGTTGTGGCATGTATTGTGCAGGCAGATTAGCTTCTGATATCGGAGTTCGCCATGATGCCGTCAAAGTTCCGGTGGAAAGACTCGTTATAGATTCGTCGTCGGAGTTCGATGAACAGGAGAAGACATTGGGATCACTGATGGCCAGAGGTCATGAGAGTTAGCGGTGGCCGGCGGTTGCTCAAATATATTTACACAACGGATATTGTCAAGTTTGATCGGTGCTGGAATCTGCTCGTGTTGCATGTTTTGCGTGTAATAATCATGAGACGCCTGCTGCTCAACATGTCAATGGCATTTTATTTTACGCATTTTAATTTTACCATAACTAATAAATCGTGTGAGGTGAGTCGTAGATGCCTTGATGATGTTAATTTTATATTTTTATTGATTTTTTGCATGTAATATATTTTTGCAAAATATATTAGTTTTGACTGAATTAAGTAATTAACAATTCGATTTTGTCATCTTGATATAGATTAATTTTAAACAATAATAAGCTCAAGTAGTAGGATCCTTTCGGTTTAAACTGGTTCTTGATCAAGGGAAGCCATCAACTGAATATATTTAGGAGCATCTCTTGTCAGTACACGAGTTAATTCAAGTTCGCACCCTTGATTTTTTTTGGGCCGAAAAACTAAGGTGTATGCAGAAAAATTTTCGCTAATATTATATGTGATTTACTACCAACTACGTAAAGTAGGTTGGAAAATGCAATCAAAATTCATAACTCAAATTTTTTGGAAAAATTACCAAAAAAACGTAAAAATTATAAAATCGCAAATTGGGACATGTTACGACACTTCATAGGCTTTGATAATAAAATTGAATTGCAAATAACAACATGTTTTTTAAAAAAATACCTGATTTATAATTTAATAATTTTCACCGTCTTGTTTTGCAATTTCCCAATTTTCTTTCATTTTTTAAATCGGAAATATCTGCAGAAAATACTTTTTTGTTTTTTTGCCAACCTGGAGAAAATACATTTAGGATGCGTACTGTTGGCCAAAGAGTTTAAATGGGTGAAATACGGGCTTTATCGAGGCCCAAAAGAAAGAGGTGATATAGGAATTTAGGGTTTAGTTGTATATTAGTAATCTCTCCCAAGGTTCTCGACAGTCGGCCCTTCCGCTGCGGCAACGAGCTCGTCGGGGTCTCTGGTGCAGGCGAATAAGGTAAGTTGCTATGGCGGCCGCGGTAGCTCAACCTCAAAGCCATGACTTCATCGAACCGGTCAACGATGTCAAGCTCTTCAATCGTTGGACCTTCGAGGATGTTGAGGTTTCCCTTTTACTCTTTTCAATCACATTTCCCCTATTCATGGGCATATTTCAATCTAAAATTTAAACTTCCGAAAACTGATTTTGAGGGTATTGTTTTTTCTTTTGGTGACGATTGTAAAGGTATTGTTGACATTTCTTTCTCGCATTTATGCCCAGTTTCGGCAGCATATTACAAAGCCCCAACCCCCCCCCCCCAAAATAACAGCCCAGATAATGTGGCGAGAATTAATGCAAAAATTTAATCTAACTTGATCGATTGCTACTACATCTCATTTCTTTCTCTGTAATTTCCGTGATTCTCATACTTGACATTTCTTGTAAGCATAAGAAGACGTAAGTAGTGAAGTATATGTTTCTTGAGCAATCATTTTATCTTGATTTCCAATCATGGACATGCTTCTATTTGCATGTGATTGTGTCACTGTTTTGACGCAGGGATATTGGAAATTTTTCTTCTTAGTGATATTCAACTGATATAGATGATTTTCAAAAATGAAGTGGCGGAAAATAGCATCTATTTGATGATGGAACATTTAGTCGCATATTCAGCTTCTTAATTTTTTTATTTTTTTTATTATTTTGGTGTCTTTTACCAAGAGATTATGTTTCTGGATATTTACAAGCTCAACTTTGGCAAATGATCCATGTGCTCTGTCGTCCGGTAGCCCACCTGTTAGATCTTGAGAGCTAGGACAGAAAGAAAGGGGAAGAGAAGAGAAGAGAAAGAGAAGGGAGGAGAGAGAGGGAGAGCCTAGATCCAGAATCTGAAATTCTAGGAGAAGAGGAAGTTTAAGTCAAACTGAATAATGCTTTTCATTCATCTCCCCTTTTGGCAGAATACATGTATGATATTTATAGGATGGTATATAAACTGAAAATAACCTTATCCTATCCATATAAAGCTAACAATGACGTAACCAACGCTGGACACTTGTAACAGTTAATACAAGACACATAATAAAACATAAAACATATACAACATAGTAATTCAGTGAAAAATAAACTAGTAAAAGCCCCTGGTTCCTATCACCACCTCTCGGGTTCTTGTATCCTCACATTACAAAATGATGACCTGTACGATTTGCTTACTTTACGTGCTATGCCTTTCAATATTTTGTGCTTGAGAAGTAGTTGTTGGGTTTGGATCTATAATGATTTATTTCTTGATGTCATGAGCGAGTGTGGTTTTGTCCTGGCCATGACAGTATCTGTTGTTTCTATTATTCATCAATGCTTCTGAAGGTTACTAATTATTTAGGCATTACCATTTTAGGTGAATGACATATCCCTGGCAGATTACATTGGTGTGGCTCCTGCCAAGCATGCAACCTACGTGCCTCACACTGCAGGGCGATATTCGGTCAAGCGTTTCAGGAAAGCACAATGCCCTATTGTGGAGAGGCTCACCAACTCTCTTATGATGCACGGACGAAACAATGGGAAAAAGCTGATGGCAGTGAGGATCATAAAGCACGCCATGGAAATCATCCACTTGCTTACTGATCAAAATCCAATCCAAGTTATTGTTGATGCTGTGATCAACAGGTATAAAAATAGGAAACAGATGTACAATTGAATTGACCACCCCTTTTACTTCTTTGGCTTACATCTAATTCCATGCTCTAACTTTTCTTTCACACCAGTGGACCAAGGGAAGATGCTACACGAATTGGGTCTGCTGGTGTTGTCAGACGTCAGGCAGTGGATATTTCTCCCCTGCGTCGTGTGAATCAGGCTATCTATCTCCTTACTACAGGTGCTCGTGAGTCTGCATTTAGGAATATCAAGACAATCGCAGAATGTCTGGCTGATGAGCTTATCAATGCTGCAAAGGGATCATCAAACAGGTATACAAAAGGGGGGGGGGGAACTATATTTTCAACCGTTTGATGGAAATCAATCGTGTTTCTGTAGCACTTTAAGCTGGTTACATCATTAGTTCATGCTATATGTCCTCGTTTGTTCTTTGTACGCTGATTCTTTTTCTTGGTTTTTTTTTTTTTAGCTATGCCATTAAGAAGAAGGACGAGATTGAGAGAGTTGCCAAGGCTAACCGTTGAGGAATGGAAGAGAGGCTCATGGACAGAAGTTTTGCTCCTGAGTTTGTTTTGTTTCTGACCTCCTGTGGCTTTTTTTTACTGCTGGACCTTAATTAAAGATATGATTGCGAGCTTGTTTCATTTCTTGAATATTGAATAGCTTTGATTTTATAAGATAGATGTTATTTCTCGAAAAAGACCCTCTAATATTCTGCCAAAAAAAGAGAGACTATCATGAGCTGTAGAGTACTATGATTCAATCTGGGTGCTCATCAATCAAATTAGTTGGAATGATCTAAATTCAATTTTTTTTGGTATTTTTAATAGTTCTTTTATTGAAGAGCAAACTTGTTAAACAATGAGTAAGAGAGAGTTTGGACGAGTTATATATCATGGCTAAAAAAGGTCTACAAATTACAAAGATATTCATGAATTATCATTGAAATTTAAAGCACGTTTTCCAAATTCCCATTCCTCTTAATTGTCTCGTGCAAACAAATCAAATTGCGAAAAATTCTTCATTATAAGTTATATCTCCTTTGTATTTATTTATTTAGACAGGGAGCAACGCAATTTTTGGTTGGACTGAGGAGGCAACGCAATTTAACACGACTAAATGGGATGTAAAATCTTATAAAATTATAATTATAGTCATTCACTTTTTCCCCTTAATCTTTCTACGATATATTTGAATCTGCAGAATCCAAACAATGTTCGATATATTTTTTAAAATAGTTTTTCTTAAGCAAAACATAACAAACGTATAGTATTTGAATAAGAACATTATAAATTGATTAGAAAATAACTTATTTATCTAAAAATTTCGTGCAGTTGCTAGATTTTCAATAAAAATGTAATCATAAAAGTATAAAAAATAGGTATGACTTTATTAATAATCATTATACTATATATAATGTATAAGGGAGGTCTCTGGAAAACTATAATCTAAGAACAAAAATCGTAACACAAATATGGATGGAGAGGAAAAATCCGCAACCAATCCTCCATCTATTATTGAAACATATACAAATCCAATAGGAACCCAAAAAAATAGCAGTAAAACCAGCAAAAGCCATATTCTCTACTAGGAATGAATTCACAGCCTAAGCCTGAACTTACAACTGCTACTTACAATCTTGATCTCATTATTGCTTTCCAATCTATCCACCACAAGCCTGCACCTAACCTTGAACTTCACTTTGAACAGTTTCAACTTCCCAAGCTTGATCCTCACGGGTTGCTTTGCCCTAAGGTTCAGAGGAATATTCCCAGTCTGCTGCATTTGCTCCTGAATCACAGCCTGCAACTCAGTTGCATTCTGTATTTGCCCGGAAAGAGGCAAATGAAGCACTGTAGTGTTCTTGTGACCCTGATAGAACTTAGGCAAAGACCCTTCACATAATTTTGTGTCCATGTACCAAGCACTCACATGGCTGCCTCCTTCGTAGTATATTCCAATCTTCTTGTTTGGGTTTCTAGCTGTGACTGTCACATTGAAAGTTGCAGAGAGATTGTTGTCTTCTGAAAGACTGAACCGGGTAACTGTAAGCCCGTCTATTGAGTATTTGGGAAGCTTTGGCCTGAACACAAGGAACAGAATTCCTATGGTTATGCCTATGGCTACTATTAGTATCAGCAGAAGGCTTATGATCCAGCACAGAAACTTGCAGCAGCAACTTCTTGACCTTCTTTTCTTCAGCGCCGGCGCCGGAGCAGCCCGCTCCTCCACTGGTACGCCATGATCGGACTTTGATACGTCCCTTGGGAACAGTGGAGCTGACGGTGTGTGTGGTGATGCCTCCACATCTGGGACTGGGTGAATACGCTGTTGATGATCAGCCATGTTGGTTCAGGAAATATCAGAAAATGAATGTTTCAATTTCTTCAATGCAGTCCCTTGCACAAGTATATATATGCACATAGATAATGATACAGGTTAGGTCTGCGATGAGAATATTCATAAGGCGCTTCTCTTATTGACTTTATATGGCATGAAGGCTAAAGGCTAGGAATGGTTTTATATTAGAGCTAAAGACTTATCTCAGTCACGTGTACCAAAAATTCAGCAATAAATGGCGTCCAGAAATTGCTACTGTATGCTTCATGAATTTTAAACTTCATGTAATTTTGGCCAACGAATTTTATTGCCTTGCTTTTCCTTCAAGGTCTAGTGTTGCCGCATTTGACCTAATGCCTTATTTTATTTTGGTTTCTAGATCCGTTATTACTATCTTCAAATACTCCCAAATACAAATAATCGAGAAAGTATAAAACCCTGACGCATGCACTTCTCTGAATATCGTGGTCTTTTGCCCCCATACGTAAAATAGTCTGAACGCACTATCATCTAAGCTTTCAAAGCATTGATTTATTTTTTTTTTTAAAAAAAGGCATGAAATTGCTTTTCCCATTAAGCATAATCTGTAATATATATATATATATATATATCTGTTTTTGTTTTTAAAAAATGACCTGAAACAGGTAAATCCCCAAATAAGAAGTTGCTGATAACTTTCTGCTTTAAAGGCGTCTTTGAAGTTTGGCCCAAAAAAAAAAAAAGGCGTCTTTGAAAAGGCTATGGAAGTTTCCTTTGTCGCGAAAAAATACGTGTTCAGTTGAGAAGACCAGGTCATAAACAAAATAGATATCATAGAACACACAACCTGTTCACAACAAACAACGTACGCGTAACGCGTGGTGGCTTAAATCTTGACTTTGCTGCTGACAACATCACTGATCTCAGGGCTGCCATCACCGTCGTGTATTAGAGAAACTCTCTGGCTTGGTTTTGTTGTGGGGGAGGAAGTTTATATGTTTAATGTTCAAGTGGCCACAGATAAAGGCACAAGTGGAATCAGTTGGACCCATCAAACAAAACAACAACGTTATATGAGGTTTGCTGTGGTAGTTGCTTGTTTGAACTTGAATGCTTCTGACAAAGCAATATATATATATATATATATATATATATATAGTTCACCAGTTTCAAGAGTCGACCAAACCTGGCTGCCCCAGAAAAAAAAGGTTCCACTCCCTACCCTTTGCTCAACCGGACACAACAAATATTACATGTTTAATTATTTTCATTAACATGAAAGTAAGAAATAATTAACAATCTATTTCTTTTTTTTTTGAACTCGATTGTCAATAATAAATTCATATTAGGCAGCAGGTGTGTTGAACAGAATAGATCGATTAAAATGAATAAAAAGGGATCATCTTGTCTTTAGGAACAGTTCTGCGTGCGTAAGAAGAAATTCGTTCCATAATTATTATACTCCGTGAAAGGATAGAATTTGATAACCAGATTTGAAAATCTTTTTTTAGCAGAACTGATTAAGACTTATATATTATTAGTGTTATATTATGAGTAGTATTCAACTTCTGCAAGCAAAAAGCTAGTTTTTATAAATATATTAAAATGAATATCGACTGCTTTCAAGCTGCCAGAAAAGAAACCACTACTCCTTCGATCCTTAATATAAGACCTTTTTAATTAATTTAATTAGATTAAAGAAGTTAGATAAGTTAGTTAATTATAAGAAATATGACATGTTTTTTCTAAAACACCATAATCATATTTTTTAATATCCTTCCTCCCTCACTTACTTAATTATACTTGAGAGAGTATCCATAAAAGTAATTTAGAATAAAAATTGATAAATAGGTCTTAGATTTAGGACCAAAATTAACTTAACAATCAGTTTTTATATTAAGGATTGAAGGAGCAGTTTCTTTGCGCACACATATATTTGGTAAAACACACGTTACCAAAATATCATACATTCTACGGTTATAAAATATCATACTGCTCCCGTCTTTAATATAGAACCTAATTGTTGATTGAATTTTGGTCTAAAATATCATACTTATTTCTCATATTTGTCAATTTTTTTCTAAATTATCCCTATAGATATTCCTCTCACCATAATCAAGTAAAAGAGGGACAGATGATGATAGTATTTTAAGAAAAACATGTCATATTTTTTATAATTAATTAACTTACCTAACTTTCTTAATTAATCAAATTAGTTAAATAAGTTTTATATTAAGAACCGGAAGAGTACATTTTATGTATATTATTATTTCACATAAAATAACCGGTTTTTGCTACCCCAAAAAAAAACTTATCTTATGGTGATAATATATGGCCAGCCAAGGCTCTTACAAATTCCCAATTTTTTTGAGGACCAAATTCCCAATTATTAAGAATTCTTCTTCAAGAAAGAGACGACTAGAAAGTCTTCTACATATGTTTTTGGGCCTCGGCCCAATGATAATATAATATAACCTAATATTATGACAGGGGTATTTAGAAACCCTCAAAATCAATTAAAAAAAATGTTTTTATATAAATTGAGACAAAAATTATGACTTCATAAATTTACTTTTGAGAGGTCAATCCAAGCACAACTGTAAGTGTCAACATCTACCATTCATCTAGCAAAAGGCAACTGAATGGAAACATCATGAGGACTTCTCTTTTTGGTCAAGAAGTCATGGATGAATGTAATGCATTGAGAATGCGCGGACATTCATTCATTGAATTCGATCAGATGGATCCATCATAAAAAGTAAACAACGTGGTCCACTGAAATCGCTGAGAAGGCCATTGCTGGATCTAATAATCATACAAGTTAATGAATACAATGCAACGAATAATAAGGATGGGCATAATTATACGAAAATAGTTGCAATTAAGCAACTTTTGAACACAGGAAATGTCAAACGATGTTGGTGAAGCTATGTATCGCAGGTATTTACGTGGATCCAGCCGCTATTACGACATTGGGTATCGCGTGAACGTCCTTAATGTCACCAAACCTCCCACTTCCTATACTCTGAGAATCGCATTCTCTTTTGCTCGAGTTCCAAAAATTAGTTGAGTCAGAAGAATTTGGTTTCAGTGAAGAAGAAGAAGAAGAAAACCCCACATGCCTTTGTCCACTCACAGTGAATCTCATGCTTTCAGAAGATCCCTGGTCCTCCATATCGAATACGCCACCACCAAGGAGCGAATCACCTCGGCTTACTGTTGTCACGTACTTTTGTAAGCTAGGCTCCATGACATCATCAGCGACATCTACCTCGGATTCTACAAAAGGGTGTTCCTTGACACTAGAATCTGGCACCCTCTTCGCATAGTGATTGGAGGAGATTCGACTTTGTACTGGCGTTGAGATCAG